TTTTTTTTTTTTTTTTTGATTATAATTAATTTGTCTTTCTTTTATTTTTAATATTGATTAATTTTTATTTTTTATTTTTTTCATATATATATATATTTAAAATAATTATATTTCTGTTTTTTTTTTGTTTAAATTTTAAAAAAAATACTATTTATTATTTTTTTTAAATAAAAGTCTTAAAAGTTGGAATAAAAATTAATAATTTATTTTTTTTATTTTTTTTCATAAAATTTTAATTTTTTTTTCAAAATTTTTTTTTTTTTTTTTTTTTTCAGAATTCATAAATATTAAATTAACTCTTTATTTCATTGAATTAATATTTCTTCATTTTATAATTAATCTAAAAGCTATTTATTTTAAATTATATATTAATATATATATAATCATTTTTTTCATTTTACTTTTATTTCTAAATTATGTATATTATTAAGAGATTCTTAATAAACCATAGTTAGATGGTCTAACTCTTCTATTTTTTAAATTAAATCTTAGTTTTTTTCAGATAATTCTAAAGATTTTCTTTCTAATTATTATTTATACAAGTCTCTAGATTTAGTTCTATGTATATAAATATATTTATATGTAAGTAAAATATTAAAAATATATTATTACACTTCTTCTAATTCTTTTAATAATATTTCCAATTTAGAATTTTCTAATTCTGAAATACCATTTTATTATTATTAAATAAACATTAAATTTTATTATTTAACATTATTAAGCTATATTATTATAAAGAATAAATATAAAATTATATATATATATACATATATATATAAATATATATATATATTTATATATACTTCTTATATTGCTTAATCTCTTTCTATTTTTTTAATTTACATTTGTTCATTATTTTAAACTAATTCATTTTAAATTGTTTTTATTTAAATCTCTAATTAACCAACTTTACCTTCAAATCTTTTAATTACTGATTCATAATTTTATTTTGTATCATTTAATTACTAAACATATATAAAAAATGATTTAAAAATAAATATTTTTATATATATGTTACCATAATCTAATGTTTTAAAGATTCTATATCTAATTAGTATTATATTTAATTATTTGAATTTTTCAATTAATTAGATAATTCAGATTTTTATTTTAATAGAATTACACTATTAGTTTTCTATTATTGATTTTCATTAATTTTATTTTATAAACTTTCATCTAATTCTCTAATTTTATGTTAAAGTTATTTGATTTATGTAGCATAAGCTGCTCTTTCAGCATCACTTAAAGCTTATGTAGAATTTCCCAATTGAAGATTTCTATATTATTCTAGGTTTAATTTCATTTCTTCTATTTCTTTTATTCTTTATTATTCAAGTTTTTCGATTTTTTATTTCCATTAACTATTCAAATCTATTTAATTATTTTATTCATTAAATTTAGATTCCAATTCTTTATAAGCTAAAGCGATTTCATGTAAGTCAATTTCTTTTGTCTATAATTATTTTTTAAGGTTTTCTATATGAATTTATAGTTAATTTATGTTTTCATCCTTTTTTTAGAGTTGTTCTTATAATATTTAAATTTTTTAATTCAAACTATCTTTTTCTTATTAAATATTTTGAATTTTAAGTTTCAATTAGCCTAAATCATATGTAGATTCGCGTCTTAAATCATTTATTTCTTTATCTTTTTAGGAAATGATATTAGGAATTTATCCTTTTTATTAATTATTATATAATATTATATATATATATATATATATATATATATATATATATATAATTTTTATATTTTACTTTTAATTTAATCAGATTCTAATTACTTTTGTTGTATTTCTTTAGATAAAGCAACATTTTCTTGATTTTTTATGATTATTTATTTTTCAAATTCATTTACAAGATTTTTCAATTGTCCGATATCATATGTCGATTCTCGTCTTAAGTCGTTAATTTCTTTATCTTTTCCTTATTAAATTAATGTTATTTCTTAATTTTTAGATTATAATTCGGAAATTAATTATGCATTATCTTTATTTTTTTAGTTCAAGATTCTTTCTTATTCTTAAAGTTTAATTTTTAATTAGCCCATTTCATATGTAGATTCTCTTCTAAATTCATTTAATTCATTGTCGTATTTAGATATAATTTTTGGAATTTCATCTACTTTTTATCTGTATTAATTTATTATACTTTCTTAATCTTATTATTTTTAATTGTTTGATTCTATTAAATTATATTATATTTAAAAATATGTATATATTATTTTTATAATTCTATTTACTTTTGATTTATTCAACTTCTTATACTCTATTTTAGATTTCATTTGCTAATTTATTATTTTCCTATTATTTTTAATTTATTTATCTTTCATATTCTTAAACAATATTCTTAAGTTATCCGATTTCATATGTAGATTCTCTTCTTAAATCATTAATTTCTTTATCTTTTAATGATAAAATAGAAGGAAGTTCATTTAATTTTTATTATAATTCCTTTGCTAATAATAAATTCTCTTAATTCTTTTAATTTAAAATTCTTTCATATTCTTATAATTTATTCTTCAATTATCCGATTTCAAATGTAGATTCTCTTCTTACTTCATTCAACTCATTGTCATATCTTGATACAATATTTGGGATTTCATCTACTTTCTATTTATATTAATTAATTAAACTTTCTTAATCTTGGTATCTCTAATTATTTGTTTCTATTTATAAAATAATATAATTAAGAAAAAGTATAAATATAAATATATAAATATATTAATATTTATAAATATATATATAAAAATATATATATATATATATATATATATATATTTACTTTTTATTTAATCTACTTCTTATACTTTTTTTTATATTTCATTGGCCAAACCTATATTTTCTTAATTTTTCAAAGCAATTTATTTTTCAAATTCTTGCACTAAATTCTTTAATTATCCTATTTCAAATGTGGATTCTCTTCTTATTTCATTAATTTATTAGTCTTTACCTGCTAATATTTTAGGCAATTCTTATAATTTTGTTTATAATTCAGAAGCTAAAACTACGTTTTCTTGATTTTTTTAATTTAAGATTCTTTCGTATTCTTATAGTTTATTTTTCAATTATCCGATTTCAAATGTAGATTCTCTTCTTACTTCATTTAATTCATTATCATATTGGGAAATTATTTTGGGAATTTCATCTACTTTTAATTAAAGAGTTTTATTATTTTAAATATACTAATCTAGTTAATTTTATTATTCTTAATTTAATTATTAATATTATATGCTAGATCCTAATTTTATAATTTTTATTTATAATATATATTAAATAAAAATACTTTTAATTTATTCAGCTTCTTATATTTTAGATTTTATGCTATTTTCTAATTTAACATTATCTTAATTTTTCGATGCAATTTATCTTTCATATTCATTAATAAGATTTTTCAATTATCCGATTTCATATGTAGATTCTCTTCTTAAATCTGAAATTTCCTTGTCTTTTCCTTACAAAATTAAAGGTAGTTCTTTAATTTTCGATTATAATTCTTATGCCAAATTTACATTTTCTTAATTTTTTTGATTTAATATTTTCTCCAATTCTTGAATTCTATTTTTCATTTATCCTAATTCAAAAGTAGATTCTCTTCTTAAATCATTTATTTCTTTTTCTTTATTTGAAAGTATACCAGGAAATTCATTTACCTTTATTATTAACTTTTTATTATTATCAATGATTAGATTTCTTTCTTATTCTAATTAGTTAATATTTTCTTATAATTATGATTTTATTTATTATATGTCTTAATATTTTGATTCTATAAATTTAAATAATAATAAATATAAATATATATATATATATATATATATATATTATATATATTATATATATTATATATATTATTTTTTAAATTTAAATTTTTTCATTTATTATATAAATTTTTTCTTTTTACTTTTAATTTATTCAGTATCTTATTATTTTTATTATAATTCTATTGCTAAATTAGTATTTTCTTAATTTTTTTATTAAATTAAAATCTCCAATTCTTGCATTTTATTTCTTAATTATCCTATTTCATATGTAGATTCTCTTCTTAAATCGTTAATTTCTCTTTCTTTATTTTACATTAAAAGTGGGAACTCTTCTATTTTAGTATACATATGTTGATTATTTTATGTTAATTGTTATATTTTGGATTTTGTTTATTCAAAATCTCCTATTTTTTATTAAAGTTCTTAAGCCAAAATTTTATTTTCTTGATTTTTTTTGTTCATTATTCTATCAAATTCTTCGATTTTATTTCTTAATTGTCCTATTTCAGATGTAGATTCTCTTCTTAATTCATTTATTTCTTATTCTTTTTTAGATAATAAGATAGGGAATTCATCTAGTTTTTATTAGTATTTATTTTTTTCTTATTAGAAGTTAATACTATATTCTTAAAGTTGATCTTTTAATTAGTTATATATTTCTAATTTTTTATTTTTATATATAAATTCTATATTTATATTTTATACGTCTCATTTATTCAGTGTCTTTATTTTTTAATTATAATTCTTAGGCCAAAACTATGTTATCTTAATTTTTCTAAGACAAAACACGGTCAGTTTCTTAAATTTTATTTCTTAATTGACCTATTTCTATAGAAGATTCTCTTCTTAAATCATTTATTTCTTATTCTTTTGCATACATTAAAGTTTAAACATCATTTTTATGTAATTCTTTTTTTAATAAATATATTTAAATTTATTAAATTAAATATTTTTATTTTTTTTTATACCTTTTAATTGTTAAAATTCTTATTATTTTTGTTAAACTTCGTAAGCTAAATTATTATTTTCTTATTGTTTTTAATTTAATCTTTTTTCGATTTCTTATATTAAGTTTTTCAATTGACCAGTTTCATATGTGGATTCTCTTCGTAAATCGCTTATTTCTTTATCTTTATTAGCCAATATAATTGGAATTTCTTCAACTTTCTATTATAATTATTTCAATAAATGTATATCTTATTAATGAGATTCTATATTGTAAATATATATATATATTAATTTATATACTTATTTATATATTTACTTTTAATTTATTCTTAATCTTAACTTTTTTATTAAAGCTCATTAGCTAATATAATATTATCTTAATTTTTTTAATTTAATACTTTTTCAAAATTTTATAATTAATTTCGTAATTGTCCTATTTCAAATGTAGATTCTCTTCTTAATTCATTAACTTCTTTATCTTTATTTATTAAATTTTCTATTTTTGTTTTATATATAAAATAGTAATAATTATATTATTTACCTTTTAATAATTCATATTCTTATATTTTCATTTATAAGTCATTTTATAAAACATTAAATTACTAATTTTTTTAACTATAACGATTTTCTATTTCTTATAATTAATTTTTTATTTGTCCCGTTTCATAGCTTGATTCTCTTCTTATATCATTTATTTCTTTATCTTTTTATTAGATTATTAAAGGAATTTATTCTATTAATTATTATTTTAATTAAAATATAATTTTTTTTTTTTTTTAAACATACTTTTTAATTGTTCTAAATCTTAATTTTTTTAATTATATTAATTTTTTAAGTCTTATATTTAGTTTTAAAATTATCCAATTTAGTATGTAGATTCTCTTCTTAATTCACTTATTTCTTAATCTTTTCCTTATATAATTAGAGGTAATTCATCTATTTTAGTTTATAATTATTTATTAGTTTTGGTAATAAAATCTCGGTCTTATTAGAATTATTCGATTTAATACTTTTATTCTGATATTAATTACTTAAATTAACCAACATCGTTATTATGTAAACTTTTTAAATTATTACCTTCGTTTATTTTATTTTATATTTCTTATGCTAAACTAATATTTTCTTAATTTTTTTAATTCAAGATTCTTTCATATTCTTTAAGTTTATTTTTAAATTAACCGATTTCAATAGTAGATTCTCTTCTTAAATCAGTTATTTCTTTTTCTTTATTATTTATTTATAAATCTTTTTCTTATATTATTTAATTGTATTATTCTTAGAATTGATTTTTTAATTGTCCTAATTCTTATTTATTAGATCCTATAAAAAATATAAGAAATATATAAATATATATTTATATATATATATATATATAAATATAAATAAGAGTATATATATATATATATACATTATATTAATAATTTTTTATTTTATTTTTAAATTACTTTTAATTTAATCACTTTCATTTTATTACTTTTATATTTCTTAAGCTAAAATAATGTTTTCTTGATTTTTTTATCCAATTTGTTTTTCAAATTCTTGTAATAAGTTCTTCAATTAACCGATTTCATAAGTGGATTCTCTTCTTACTTCATTCAATTCATTATCATATTTAGATATAATTTTAGGAATTTCCTGTAATTTTGTTTGTAATTCAGAAGCCAAAACTACATTTTCTTGATTTTTTTAGTTTAAGATTCTTTCGTATTCTTATAGTTTATTTTTCAATTATCCGATTTCAAATGTAGATTCTCTTCTTACTTCATTCAATTCGTTATCATATTTAGATAAAATATTAGGAATTTCATCTAATTTCTATTATAATAGTTAATTATTTTTATAATGTTAATTAATAATGTTTTATGATTCTTATTATTGTTAATTGTTATTTCCTTTTTATTTTTATTTTTAATTTTTTATTTATTAAATAAATTTTATTTACTTTTAATTTATTCTATTTCTCCTACTCTATTTTGAATTTCGTTTGCTAAATTTTTATTTTCTTGATTTTTTTATCCAATTTGTTTTTCAAATTCTTGTAATAAGTTCTTCAATTAACCGATTTCATAAGTGGATTCTCTTCTTACTTCATTCAATTCATTATCATATTTAGGTATAATTTTAGGAATTTCCTGTAATTTTGTTTGTAATTCAGAAGACAAAACTACATTTTCTTGATTTTTTTAGTTTAAGATTCTTTCGTATTCTTATAGTTTATTTTTCAATTATCCGATTTCAAATGTAGATTCTCTTCTTACTTCATTTAATTCGTTATCATATTAAGCAATTATTTTGGGAATTTCATCAATTTTCAATTTATATTAATTTATTATATTTTCTTAATCATAATATCTTTAATTGCTTTATCCTATAAATATATAAATATATATATATATATATATATATATATATATATATATATATATATATATATTTTTCAATACTTTTTATCTTATCAACTTCTCCTGTTCTATTTTATATTTCGTTAGCTAATACTATATTTTCTTGGTTTTTCTGATTAATCTATCTTTCGAATTCTTAAACCAAATTCTTTAACTGTCCGATTTCGTAAGTGGATTCTCTTCTCATTTCATTTATTTAATTATCATATTTAGAAACCATATTAGGAATTTCCTATATTTTGTTTTACAATTCACTTGCTAATATTACATTTTCTTAATTCTTCTTATTAAGAACATTTTCATATTCTATTAACTTATTTTTTAGTTATCCGATTTCATATGTAGATTCTCTTCTTACTTCATTTAATTGATTATCGTAATTAGCAATTATTTTTGGTATTTCATCTAATTATTTAAAATAAATAACTACATTTATATATAAAAAAAAATACTTTTTAAAGATTCTATTTCTCCTCCTCTGCTTTAAAGTTCATTTATTAATTTTACATTTTCTTGATTTTTTAAATTAATTTATTTTTCGTATTGTTAAACTATATTTTTTAATTATCCGATTTCAAATGTAGATTCTCTTCTAATTTCATTAATTTCTTATTCTTTACCAGCTAATATATTAGGGAATTCTTATAATTTTGTTTATAATTCAGAAGCCAAAACTACGTTTTCTTGATTTTTTTAATTTAAGATTCTTTCGTATTCTTATAATTTATTCTTTAATTATCCAATTTCAAAAGTAGATTCTCTTCTTACTTCATTCAATTCATTATCATATTGGGAAATTATTTTGGGAATTTCTTCAATTTTCAATTTATATTAGTTAATTATATTTTCTTAATCTTATTATCTTTAATTGCTTTGCCCTATTAAATTAAATATATATATATAGATATTTTTTTATATATTATTATAAATTTATTTATTTATATATATATATATATATATATATATATATATATATTATTCAATACTTTTTATCTTATCAACTTCTCCTGTTCTATTTTATATTTCGTTAGCTAATACTATATTTTCTTGGTTTTTCTGATTAATCTATCTTTCGAATTCTTAAACCAAATTCTTTAACTGTCCGATTTCGTAAGTGGATTCTCTTCTCATTTCATTTATTTAATTATCATATTTAGAAACCATATTAGGAATTTCCTATATTTTGTTTTACAATTCACTTGCTAATATTACATTTTCTTAATTCTTCTTATTAAGAACATTTTCATATTCTATTAACTTATTTTTTAGTTATCCGATTTCATATGTAGATTCTCTTCTTACTTCATTTAATTCGATTTCATATTTTTATACTATTTTAGGTATTTCATCTATTTTTTATTATAATTATTAATTATTTTTTATCAATAAATTATGTTAATCGATGTTTGTTTCTATTTATATATAATATATAAATATTTAATTTTTTTATAAAATACTTTTAATATTCTCAGATTCATTTATTTTATTTTTAACTTCCTAAGCTAATATATGATTTTCTTAATTTTTTTAATTTATTAATCTTTCATACTCCATGATTTTGTTTTTCAATTATCCAACTTCAAATGTAGATTCTCTTCTAATTTCATTAATTTCCTAATCTTTTTATTATACTATTTTCGGAATTTAATTTTATAAATCGACCATTTATCCTTTTAAAAAGTTAGTTTCTTTTCCAAACTAACTAGTCAGAGTAGAATTTTCCTCGATTTTTAACCTTAATCTATTATCTAATTCTTATAGTTAATTTTTAAGACTTCCCACTTCATATTATGAAGTTCTTCTCATTTCATTAATTTCATTATCTTTATTATAATTCAATTCATTTATTTTTTATATTTCTTTTGCAAAGGCTTCTATTTAACTAACTAATTCCCTTATTTTATTTTCTTTGGTATTATTTTCTTATTATAGTCTTTAAATTTCCAAAGAAAGTACCTATAATTCTTTTTATTATTCATTTAATTAATTTTCCCTTTATTTATTTGATCTTTTCACTTTTTATTAGTCTTCCTATTATTCTTATTTAATCTATTATATTTAATATGAGAAGTTCTTATTTTCATTTAATAATCTTTCAGTTTCTGCACACTAGATTATATACTTAAACTCTACTATATTTTTTTTTTATTCCTACTCTTTTATTTATTATTAGAGTGCTTTATTTTCCGTAATCTACCTTTCTAATTCTATTGAAAGGGAAGTTATTTTATTTTAAAATTCGGAACTTTTTCCATAAAGGATTTCGTATTTATTTCTCAAATCTCGAAATTCGACCATTTCTTAGTCTTTTTATCTCACTAATTGATTCATTCTCTAGTTTTCGTTTTATATTAGGCTTATTCTGTTTTCTAACTCCACTTTTATCTATTCTACATCTTTTAATTGTCCTATTCTAGTTTACATCTAGAAGATATTCTCATTACATTATTAAATACATATATTTAATCGGTTTATTTCTTACTACAGTATCACATTTTTCTATTCTGAGTCTCTCAAGGCACTCTCAGAATTTTAAAGCTCTAGTATTCTGTTCCTTATTTGGGTATTTTCATCCCCTTTTTATTTCAATTAGGTCCTTAATTTTTCAGTGTCTTAGACTAAAAGTTCTATTTTTGATTCGTATTATTAAAGGAGTCTTTATAGTTCTGTCATTGCTATGATTTTCTTCTTATATTCTGCTATTTCTTATAGGAAAGCATTAATTCTTTCCTCATATTTGACTTTTTCTCTACCCATTACTTAAATTTAATACTCAAGTTCTTCTTTGGACCTTTCTATAGCAGCCAGATCATTTAATCGGGACTAAAGTTAGAGTTTTTCTTCAGTTATTAGACTTATTTATGCCTAAAAACGGTCTCTTTCTTACAAAAGTGTTTTTAGTTTTAATTCTAAATCAATTTTAAGTTTTTCTACATTTTCTAATTCGAAATTTTTTTATTTTAACAAAGAATTTTCTTAAGATAATTTTCGTATATTTTCTTCAGTAATTATTTTTATTTATTCAATTAAGTTTTTATTTTCTTATTATAAATATTAAATTTATTACTCTAATTAAGGAATTCGTTATATCTTTTAATTATTTTGGATATTTATTTGATTTAATTCCTTAATTTCGTCTTATTTTTAAACTAAAATTGCGTTCAATCTCTCTATTTCTCCCTATAGTATCCTTATTTTGTTCTCCGCCTGTATTTTTTCGTTATCTACATTGCTTTTTCGGTCACTTTCTCTCCTCCAGTGTTCTAAATCTTACTCTTTTATATGTAAATTACCTTATAATTTTCGTATATGGTTATTTAGTTGTGCTATAGAGTTTTCAAGTTCACTTATTTTCATTTATTGTTGACTTATTTCTTATTATAAGGATATTTTTCCTTACAGTTCTTGCCTATTTTCTTAAATTAATTAAGTTTATCGTCTTATTTCTTCCTATAAAACGTTTATTCGGGTCTCGTATTCTTTACATTTGTTTCTTAAAGTACTTACTTCGACTAATTAGTTCTATAATGAGCTCATTTCTCCTTGATATTGTTTACATTTTTGGACTAATTAACCATTGTCTTATGTCAAAATGGCTATTTTATTCTAAATTTCGCTCTATGCGTTTTTCAAATACTCTAACTCGACAATCCTTTTATTGGCATTATCTAATTGACTTACTATTTATAGATTTTATTAAGAAAGTCTTTCTATTTTATATTTAAAATCTTCAATTTGTTCTAAATATTATTTAATTTCTTTTTCCCTTTATAATTTTTTTTAAGGTTCTTCTTACTCAAACTCGTTTATTAATTTATTCTATTACATAATTTATAGTTCTTTCTATTCCAATTAATACTATAAATGATCAATTTAAGAAACGATTTTCATTAACTTTAATTCATATTCTTAATTTTATTTTTTTAATTCATCTATATTTCTATTCAATTATTAAATTTCATTCAATTTAGATTAAAAAGAATGCTATTATATATTTAGTTTACTTTCTAATTAACTTATTTATTATTTTAATGTTCCATCTGTATTTGTTTGGATTTTTAAAAGGCGAATTTCATTATCTTTTTCTACATTTACCTTTGTTAGATTATCTATTTCTTGTGTTAATTATACTTTTTTTTAATTTTTTTTTTTAAAAAAAATAAATAAATATATATAAATGCTTTTATTTTTTTACTCGTTTTTTCTTTTAGTTTCTCGAATTCTTTTTATATATTTTAATTAATATTCGAATTTCTTAATTGTTCTTTTAAAACTTTCATTAATTCATTAGTTTCCTATTCTTTAGTTTGTTAAAGGTTTATATAACTGGCTTTCCATTCTTCTACTTCGCTATGTTTTCGCCTTATTTTATCTTCGAGATCTCTTATTGTTGTTTTGTATTTGTTTTCGTTATTATTGAAATTATTTATTACGACTAATTATTAATTACCTTTTTATTCTAATTCGAAGTATTTGTTTTTCCAAGACTATATTTCATCGGCTTATTATCGGTTAATTTATGCCAGTTTTTCGAGTTCTTGGCCTAATTAAATAGATTTATTAAACTAGTCTTGGTATTTTAAATCACCGTTTTTATTTATATTCTAAAATTATTAAACAAGGTCATTATATCGTTCATTTAGTTCGTTATATTCGTGTGTTTTAGTAGCCAAATAAGACGAAAGCTTTTCTATTTCATTTTTAAGGCTTATTATTTTCTATTACATTTCTTATTATGATTTTTTACCAGAACCCTCATAATTAGTTATTTTTAAATTTAAATTATTTATCAAATTATCTTTCTCATATATTATCTATTTGATATTGTTTAATTCATTTTCTAAAGTTTCTATTGTCCTTATATTTACGGCACTTTATTTTAACTATTTACGGGTTTCAGTTAATTCTTGTTCTTTTAAAATTATTACTTCGGACATCTTTTCTAATTCTCTTGTCACAAAGTTGATTTTACTTTCATATTCGGCTATTTATCCCATTAATTAATTTCTTTTTATTAATATTTATATGTATATATATATAGTTATTTATTTTTTTACTATTTAGGATCTTATATAGGCTTTTGAATTTCATTACAATGATCTTTCCAGATTAAAACCTCTCTATCTAATCTAGTGATTTCAGTTTACATTTATATGAATTTTTACTCTAATTTATATTTTTCTTCACTTAACATATTAAATTTATTTTTCCATTATTCGATTTCTGAATTTCTTTAATTTAATATGATTTACATTTAATTAGAATCTCCTTTTGCGGCTAATTCCTATTCTAATCCTTTTACCAATTTATTCATCTTTTCACATTCGACTAATAAAGCTTAATTTTATCTCGCGAGTTTTTCGTTTTGGATTATTATGGAATGATCTGACTCTTATATTGATTATCTAAGCTAGTTCTAGAGAACTAATGTTTCCTAAGAGTGTTTTATATTGACTTATTTAAGCCTTTTTTCCAAATCAGGGTTATTTCCTTATATTTAGGTAATCAAAAATTAATTTTATTCACTTAAGTCTCTTAATTGTCTTTATAATTAACCGTTTATTTCGTTTAATTTATTCATTTAATCCTCTTGGCTAGTTACTAGTCCACTTAGTCGGATTTCTATTTAACGAGATTTAGCCAATTCTTAATTTACTCTTTCTAATTCTTATATTAATTAAGTTACATCATTATCTGACTGTATATTATTTATTTAATATTTTTTATATTTATTTTTATTACGTATTTATTATTATTATTATAAGCTTATAAATCAGCTATTTATAATCGTAAATTTTCTATTAATTCGGTTTTTTAATTCAATATTTTATAGTATTATTCAGCTAGATTATTGTCATAATTTGAGTTTCCGCCTTTAATTGGGGAATATGATAAAGTTGATTTTTTATAATTTAATTTTAATCTATTTTTTTTTTTTATTTTTTTTTTAAATAAATTTTATATATATATTTACCCTTATGGCATTTGTGTATTTGATATGCGCTCACTTCTTTGTTTTGTGTCCGGAGTAGGACTTCTTATAGGATTTGTAGAGGGAAGATTTCTAGTTTGGGAATATTCGCCTCTGTGCATAGATGAATATAAATTATTTCCAAGGGAAGAACGAGCGTATTTTGAAGGAGTTATTTTACTGTTATTTAGGAACATATAAATAGGCTATTTTTTTATTTTATTATTTTTTTTCGAATAGATTAAGTTTTTTTTTTTTTTATTTTTATTTTTACTTTTTTATTTATTTGTTTCTGTTTTATTTTTTTTATTTGTAAATAAATATAAGTATTTTTTTTTTTTTTTTGTTTAGTGTTTTATTTTTAAATAAAAATAAAAATTGAAAATTATAATCTTTTTTTTAGTTTAAATGGATATATATATATTTTATTTTTTTGAATGAATTATTTATTTTATTTATTAAAAATAAGTTTCAAATGATAAAATTTTATTTTTTATTATATAAAATAAATATGATAGTTTTTTTTGTTTTTATGAGAAATAAAAATACTATTATTAAAACAAAAAATAAAGAATAATTAAAAAAAATTGAAATTATTAGAAAATAAGTAAAGCATTATTAATATTTTTTAAATTATTTTATAAATTTTAGTAAGAATAATTATGATATTTGTAACATTTAAAATTATTTTTTATTAAATATATATTTTTAATAATGTTTTATAATTTTTTTTGTGAAACAAAAATATTTTTAATAAATAATAATATTAATACTTTATAAAATTGAATATAATTTATTTTTTACATAACATCGTTTATAAATATTACATATTTTACAATTTTTTTCAGTTTAATTTTTTAAAATAAATAAAAATTTATTAATATGAATCCAGTCTATAAATTTTTAAAAATAAAATTAATCTATATAAATAACTAAATTTATTATTATTATTTTTATAAACAAATATATTTTATATATACTTTAACGAAAATTAATTTATTTTGTATTTTTTTTTTATTAATCTAACCTATATTACATTTAATTAGTAAAATATGATTAAAAAAAAAAAAAATAGATTATTATATAATTTAAATTCTCCATTTCTTTTATTTATTACATTACTTTACGAAAACTTACATTTTTTATTTGAATTATATACATTTAAGATTATATTAATTATTTTTCCTTTATTAAAACAAAATATTATATCATACAATTTTAATTTATATTTATTATACTTTGTTGAATTTGTTTTTAATTTTATATAACAAATATAAATATTAATAGTTATATTAGAATATTTTTTGTAAATAAAAGTATTTTATTTTAAATTTTTATTTTTTGTTTAATAAAAAAATACTATAATATATTTTACAATAAATAAAAAAAATGTAAGATTAAATTGAAGAACAATAACATAAAGTTTCAAATTTTACAAAAAACATTTTTATTGCGATAATAATTTTCTCTTGTATATCATCATTATAAAGATCAGATTATAATTTGCCTTTATATATTTTAGCTTTTATTATTTGGGAAAAACCAAAATTAGTTAATAATTAATATATTTTATTATAAACAAAAAAATATTATAAAAGGTGCACTATAAATCTAAATTATTTTATTTGTTTATATATACTTTTATTTTTGATATTATTTGGATATTAATTAATGTATTAAATTTAATTAATAATAATACTAAAAGTCAAGATGAATATTAGATATTAGACTATATTGTATTTATTATTTGTTCAATTAATTTAATTTTAAAAGTATTTAAATATAATATAAATAAATATTAATATCAATATTTTTAAAGTTGATTTCAATAATATATTTGTTAATTAAAGATAATGATTCAAGAAATGCATTATAATTAAAAGGATTAATAGAAAATTTTACAAACATTTTAGATTCTGATTGAATAATTAATAAAAATCGAAATTTATAGAAATTGTATAAAATATAAATTTATATTTAAGTTATATTTTTTTTATTTATATAAAAAATTAAATTTAACAATTTTATTTTTTATAAATATAAATATAAATAATATTATTATTATTATTATTATTATTATTATTATTTTCTTTTTTATTTTCTTTTTATTTTTTTTATTATGATTATATTCAATATTAATCAAATATATATATTTATATCTATATATATTTTATTTATTCTTTTTTTCTTTTTTATTTCATAATTTTTTTTTATATATATTTATATTCTATAATATTAATATGTTTATAAAAATAATTTACAAAATAAATATATATTTTTTTAATAATATATATATTAAATAATTTTTTTTTTATTAAAAAAAATAATAAATTAAATTTAAATTAAAAATCTATCATCATAATATATATTTATATACATAATTTCTTTAAGTAATATTATTAAATTTTTTTTTTTAGTAAGTTTAAATGATTTTTTTTTAAATGTTCATTTTAATTCATAAAGATTAAAATGCCGTAAAATCGGTGTTTTAACTTTATATTTATTTTAGTTATTAGCAATAGCAATACCTTATCTATTTCTTCTAATCATATTGTTTAAAATAATAGCAACTTTATTAGTCTTTTAATTAATAGCAAACATCCACATATAACATATTTTACAATTATAAACAACCCATTATTTTTCCTTTTTTTATAAAAAGATAAATAAATTATATATATTATTTATTTTGCACTTTTTCTTCTTTCTTATTGCTTTTATAAATAGTTGTATTTCTTATTGGCCCTTCTGAATTTAGTATAATTTGTATTTACCCATCATCTTAAATTTAACCTTAATTAAAAGGACCAATAAAGAAGTTATTAAATTATAATAATCCCCATTTAATGGCATCTTAATGTAATTTATATCTTTTCTTTAATTTTTTTTTTTAAAATATATATAAATATATATATATATATATATATATATAAATATATAATATATATAAATATTTATATATATATTATACTTTTATAAATGTTAAATATTCTTAACATCCATCAGATGGACATTCTTAGTTTCCAGAATTTTTAGTATTCTCTTATGTACAATTGCATATTTTGGTCGGCATTTTTTTAGTAGAATTATAATTTCTTTTTAAAACTAAAGTAGTACATCCACAAATACATTAAGCTTTTGGATATGTATCTATATAAGATTCAATTTAAAAAAGTAGAATAGTTGATTGAATTAATTTTTAAAGCGAAGTATATGGTATTTATAGAAAAAGAGTCTATATTTTTTTATTTTATTTTTTTTAAAAAAAAAAAATTATTTATTTTTTTTACTTAAGAATTTATTAATGTAAATGTCTCGTAGGTTGAACATTTGAAAAAATATGTTAAAGAAAATAAAAGCATAGAACGGATAAATAAAGACTCTGGTTTAGAAGATATATCTACTTAGTTTTCCTCTATAAAGAGTACTTTACCTCTAAAAAGAAATATTTCTCTTAAATAATCCATTACTTTTGGGGCTAATCTGAAAATGGAAGATTGCTTATTTTCAATATTAGATATATCTAATAGTAAATATCCAAATCTTTGTAATTATTAAGGTAAAAGTATATTAGCATCAGATATTATATGCGTAATACCAGCAAAAATAAGCTTTTCGTTATTTTATAGAAAATAATTTTATGAACATAGATAAACTTCTTCTATCATTTTTATCAAATTTGGTTACTATTGTATTTATTATATAATAATTATAAAAATAAAAAAAATATAATTACATATTTTAACATAATTTTCTAATTTATTTTTTCGTTAATTTTTTCTTAAGAATTATTATTTAAAATTATATTCTACATATAATTTCTTACAATGTTTTCAAACATATTAGTATTTATTTATGGAACATTTGATAAATAATTATTATTGTTATTATTATTATTATTATTGTTATTATTATTATTAATATTATTATTATTATTAATATTATTAATATTATTAATATTATTAATATTATTAACTATATGAATATAATTTTATAAAGGACTCATATTAGTAACTATAAGTGCATGTATATGCTCGAATCTTTTCAATACATTGTCTATATTTGGTCTTATTTATTATTCTCTAACTAAAATATATTTTAAAAAATCAATTATATAAATATTGTTATGTATTTTATTAAGGTTTTCCTAATTTAAAATTGGTTCATTTTAAGACGTTACTCTTATATAAAATTAAGCCTAATTACTATTATAGTAAAGGAATTCTCCTGTCAATATCTCATATAAAAGGCAACCTAAACTCCATACATCTGAACTCCTTGTTGTTCCTACTTTTTTTCTTCTGTCATATTTATCGCCTTCTTTCTTCGAATTTATTGCCAAAGTAAGCATTTCAGGTGACTAAATACATTCAGTACCTTTTGTTTACAAAGAATGTTCATCTTATTCGCTCTTAAACATTTTACATACCCCGAAATCTCCTATAATTACCTTTATTTCACCTTATAAATCCTATTAGTCTTTAAAATCTAAAAGTATGTTATCAGCCTTTATATCATAATGTATTACATTATTTTAATGCAAAAGTTAAACTGTTTTCAAAACTTCCTTATATATAGTTAGATAAGTTGGTAGATTTTCCACAAAAGACTCCTTCTTTTACTTTAAACGCCATTATTTTAAACTAATTGGGTATTTTTTCATCACTATTCTGTAGTCACTTTTGGTAAGTCCATAGTCATATAAGTCTGTTATACATTGATCTAGTCTGAAGGCTTCTAAACAGGTAATTTCGTTGAAAATATCGTGTAAAACACACCTTCCGTAAATACTGTCAGGAAGACTCATTTGCTTTATCGCAACAGCTTTTGGCTCTTGTAGGTTAGTATTTCCTTCGTATATAGCACCGAAAGCACCTTAAGCCATGAATTTAAGGCCTGTGTAAATAGAAAAGTCAGTCAGAGAGGCACATAGGAGCTTTAAGATGCGCTAACCTGCCGGAAAAGGCTTTATATATGATATGTTTTGGAGTAAAGAAGGCAGGATGTTCTAGTTAGAAGGATGGTTTAGGTGGAAATGTAAGAGAAAAAGGATGTTTGGCTTTCCGTCTATTATAGGGAACTATGAGCAGTATAATTCATCGAGTGTACCTCTTTAGGGAGATAATAAAAGGGAAATTATTAAAGATAAAATGCTTGCGTGAAGTTCTGGGTCAGAGTATATTTTTCTTAATTTTCGTTCTTAATAATAAAATACTTTTTCTTCATGATTATTTTCTTTTTCTTCTTAAGATATATGGATGTTGGAATTGTTTTGTGTAGTTTCTTCATTTTTTTGATGGCCTTTAGTGATGTTACCGAGATTTAAACTGAGTGCTTATTTAGTTATTTTTTAGGTATTTTCTATGCTATTAGATTAATTATTATTATTTGTGTTTAAGAGATTTGAAGGTTTTAATGAATTACTATTGTTATTTAAGGGATTTTCTTTTAGTTTATCAGTACAATTTAGTTTAGAAATAGGAATTTTAGATATATTAGAAGGCGGTTTTTATATAGGAACAAATAATATCCCATCTGAAGATGAAGATGAATAATTATTTATATCGAAAACATATTTTGATTACAATTATTATTATTATTACAATTATTATTATTATTGTTATTATTACTATTATTATTATTATTATAAAAGAGGAGAATCAATTATATTATGTTTGTTATTTTCGAGTTAATTAAGGAATTTTTTTTAATCTACTTTATCAATATTTAAAGAATTTATTTTAATTTTTTCATTAATTTATATTTATTTTTAAAATGAGTTGTTATTTTATTGTGTATTATCTATAAAAAATTGTTACAATTGTAATTATTATTATTATTATTATTATTATTATTATTATTATTATTCTATAATTTTTTTTGCTTCGTTTTTAATTTTTAAATATCTTTCTCGAATTTAAGTAATGTCGAACTCTAGATCTATTTCTCTTGTGAAGAATTCTAGTATACGATATTGATAGAATTTACGGGTTATTTCTTCGTTTCTTGTTGTCGAGAGTGCAAATAGAAGTTTTATATATAATTTTAAAAGGTCTATTTTTAGATTAGAATTTTTATGTTTTTTTTATTTTTCTGTATTTTTTTCTTTTTTTTATGAAATATTTTTAATTTTTCTTGATATTTCATTTAATTCATGTGCATTAGAATGCGAATATAATTTAACGAAATTAATAAATGAATATTTGAGATAAAAAGCCGATATATCCTCTGATAAAAAACATGAAAAATTCGGTCCAAAAGAAAAGGCTAAATTGAGAAATTCAATTATATTTTTAAATAGATTAACCTTAAGAATAATAAAAGTTGGTATTTTTTCCTATATAATAATACTATTTATATCAGAATTAATACTTAAATATTTATAAAAAAGCCCAGTATAAGGCCTCACTAAAAAAAGGAGGTCTTAAAAAAGTTTCCTAATGAAAATTTTCCATTGTTTTGATTTTCCTGACTTTTTTTCGTTTAGTTTTTCCCGAAAAATCATGTTTTGGCACATTATTAATTAAGATTTGAAATAAAGCATTAATTTTTATATATTTATAAATGTATTTATATATTCTTATTTAAAATCATATTTTTATTATTCATTTTATTTTTTACAAAAAACTAAGATTTCTTTAAATAGGGAACATGTGTATAATTTTATAAGGTCTTTCCATTAAGAATTCTTGAAATAAACTTAGTTTAGTAATTTATATATTTCATTTCTTGGAGCTTTAATCATTATTCGTGCTAAAACACTTACATAATTAGCAAATAATTCTTAGTTTTTCAATACAACAGGTGTTATATGACCATTTAAGTTATTAAAAGGAGGTATATTCTCATTATTGGAACTTTTTTGGGGCGAAATAACCATAATTTTTTATCCTTTTTCATTAATTTTTGCCTAATAAGGTATTTTAGTTTTATTTGCGGAATTACTTAGGCCCTATCTGGGAAAAGAAACATTGTTTTATATAAAATGAGTGACTCTTACTGAATTTGATGCTGTTCTGGAACTCTATTAGGGTTAAAATATGGATAATTCAATGAATTAAACTTTTAACATTAATAAAATATCAAATACACTTTCTAATATTTCAAAACAAAGTATTCTAGATGAAGTATTTTATATATAAGAATCTAAAATATCTAATTGTTCTTTTTATATATTGAAATATTCTTTAGTTTACATGTCTATATTGTTTAAAAACCAGGAAAATTTTTTAGTGAACTTTTATAAAAATTAATTTCCTTTTTTTTTAATTTCCTAGGCTGAATTTATGTTTATTTAAACTGAAAGACCTTTATATATGAAATTATTATTGTTTTTTTCCTCTTTTTTATAAGTCTATATATTTTATAATAAAATATTATTATTATTCTAATTAATAATAGACCCTTTTATCGGAAATTAAGGGAAAATATCCTTCCTTATAGAGTGTATTTGGTGCCTTTTTTCACTATTAATAGAATATAAGTCAAGAATTTTAAAATAGACTACATTTTCTGGAAATAATATACTATTTATATTAATATTTATGTTAAAAGTTTCACATATAGGGCTATTTTTTTTCTTTTCCTATTAATTTTTGACCAATTGACTATTTTTATCTTATAGACATTCGATTCCATCACATATTATGTCTATTTTATTTTATTCGAAGGTAATTTCAGGCGATTCTTTCCATCCTTTTTTCGAACAAAGTAATTTTACGAAATCTTTTTTCCTTTAAAAAAAGCAGGTTTCTGAAATTAAATACTAAAAAATTTAATTGATTGGACAAGGAAGAAAATCCCTTTATTCTTCACAAGTTTCCCTTAATATAAAAAACAATATATTTATGAGTATTTTAATTGTTTTTTTTAAATTTATATTATTGTTGTTTTTTTCGGTATTTAATTCATTTAGATCAATTGAATCTTATAATGTACATTGATCACTGCTTTCTATTTATAGTTTTATTTAAGAATTACTTTTTTATTATTAATTTTCGTCTAAAAGTACATCTGGTATATATTTTATTTTAAAAAAATATCAATATGAATAAAAATAATATCTATTTATTTACCTTAAAAACATGATATTTTAGCCACTTAGTCTAATTATTATCTCCTTCTTTAAGCTAGTAAGCAACCTAAATCAATTGTAAGGTTATATTCGCCTAAACTAGCCGCTATTTCTTTCATTATTTATATCTAAGAGGTATTTTTAGCCACTTTATGTTCCTTGTCGTCATATTAATAGGAATTATCTTATACAATATTTGACGTATTTTTATTTAAGAAGGCTTTATTTTATTAATCTTTAAAACCGCTATCTATAGAGTTTGAAAATCGGTTAGAATTAGTCGAAAAAGACTTGAAAGGATCCGCTCTTCGAGTAGATCTTGCCAAAATGATGTTATTTTCATTATTAAGTATTATATTAGATGAATTATTTTACTAAGGGAGGTTTAAAGGGGGTATTTTGGGAGTTTTAATATTTTTAGAATTAAAAAGGAAAGAATTTTATTCCGAAAAATTTTTTTGGTCATTTTCTGTCGGGGAATTTTCGGCTGAGTTTGTATGTTTTTTTTCCAAAAGTTAGTTTTTTTCCGATTAGTTAATTTTAATTGGAAAATTTTAAAATCTTTCAGATATATTAGGCCGGCTTAAGAGTATATATTTGGATAATTAGGTGTTAAAATCAGTATTTTCTTGTGGAAATTTCAAAGAAGATTCTATAAGGAATTACCTTTCTTGAGATTCGGTTTCTTTAAGTAGTTTAGTAATTGAAATAGTATATATTTATAGAATAAGACAGTATATATCGGAATTTTAGAGTATATAATTAGCCATAGGAGGACAAAAATGAATTAGTTTATAAAATATTTAGATTGTATTTATACAATAGATATGATTTTCAATATGATCGAGAAATGTTTCGGTTATTTTTATAGTTAAATTGGGTCGAATTTCGGTTAGTTTTTATAATATTTCGGTTATAATGTCTTATACGGATTCATGGTATTATTTATATTATTTTTAATTTTGCGTTTTTATTAAAAAACTAATTTATTATTATTGTTAGTTTTTGGAATATTTGATTGAACATGTTAAAGATATTAAATTTAATATTAGTTTATTCGAAAATAAGTCGGAAAAGAATAAAGGCATTTGTATTTATTGCTTTATATTTAATAAGGTCATTATTAAATTATCGTTATATTCGGTTATTGTAGTGAGCTTTTCGAGTTCGGATTCCATATTATTATTTTAATTTTTTTTTATTTTATTTTTTTTATTTTTTTGATTTAAAAAAAAAAAAAAAAAATTAATCTTTTTTTTTGTTTTTTTTGAATTAAATATAATATTTTTTAGTATTTATTTATTATTATTATATATATATATATATGTATTTTAATTCAATTATTTATGTTTTTATTAAAATGCTTTTATTTAATTTTTTTAGATTACATATCATTTTTTATTATTTTTATATATTTTTTTTTTTTTTTTTTTCAGAATCAAAGTCCTATAGCCTTATGATAATCTTATATTATTATTGAAATTTAAGATCTTATTTATATATCGTTCGTAATCATACATTTCATTAAATCATTAATTAAATAACCTATAATGCCTTTTTTATTATTATTATATAATACATTTTTATTATCTTTCAAATTAATTAAATTATAAATCGGCAAATTGTTTTTAATTTCCTAAAAGCTTTATTCTTTTAATTCAAAAGTTTACAATTATTTTAAAAAGTCAGACTAAAAGCTTTTACTTTTAAAATATATTAAAATAAATATATATATACTCATATTTATATATTTTTTACATTTTTTTAATAGGAGGACTGTTTATAGAATCGTCTTCAATTTGAAATTCCTT